CCACACGCCTCCCTCCCTTTATCCTGTGCCGCTTCCTCCCCCCAAAAGCAATTCATCTCTATCTTTAAAGAGAGATCTGAAGCCACCAGCTCCTCTCCCACAGCTATATTAAGGGCATCCTCTTTGGCTCCCCGCCCAGTAAAGAGCTTATCACTCTGCTTAGCAAGAATCCGGTCCTCAGTCTGCCTCTCGCAGCCTGCAAAACCCCTCGAGGGAGGAGAGCATAGGGTCTCCTCCTTATCCCTGCAGCCGGGCCTCCAACTGGCCCCAGGGTCACACAGGATCAATATTTGCTGAATGCATGCAGTTCTTTAATGGGTGCATTCAAGCAATCCCCTCGTCTGTGCCCTGAGAGAGTAGACCTGTCCCCGGGCTCTCTGGCGCCACTGTCACTGACCTAGAAGGGCAGCAGGGCGTGGTCATGTTTCTGAAGAACCTCTCTACTTTGACCGCATCAGCCCCCCTGCAAGCACTGGGCCATCAAGCGACGAGAATGCTCCACTTTGGGAAAAAGTCCCTGGGAGGTCATGTCACGTCGCACGTTGAAGGTCCTGAGATTAGCAACCGCCAGATCCAGTGCTCTTGACTCAAATTTCATTAATGTTGAAAGAGCCGCATGACGATCTGTCACACTAATGCCCCCTCGCTGTCAGTTTCCTCGTCTACAAAATGGATGTGTCACCACGCAACTTGAAAGGGTGTTTTGAGAGATAAGGCAGACCCGCAATTCCCAAATGCCGGTCCTATAAAAATGCCAATACTGGGTGCCAACCCAGACTTAGTGAAGAAAGACAAAGAGAGGACTAGCTGGGGGCGGGATCCAGAATCCGTGATTTTTTAAACGGTGCTTAAGTTATCCGACATGCAGCTAAGTTTGGGGATCCCGAGACACCATGGAAAAGCTGGTACATAGTAGGTGCTCAATGTTAACAGGACCCATACGATACCAACCAAGTTGCACGGGCACAGATCTGCTGGCATTCACAGCTTTCAGACACATATTGCTGTGTGGCCTTGGGAAAGTTACTCAACCTCTCTGAGATGGTATCTTTATTAGTTAAACAGATCAATAATAGAAATACCCACCTCTGTGGTTGTAGTGAGGATTATCTAAATGCTGCACTTATTGCTGCCACCAGAAAGTTTACAAGTCCCATAACTTTCTTTTTTTTTTTTTTTAATGTTTTTATTATTGAGAGACAGAGAGAGACAGAGCACGAGCATGGGAGGGGCAGAGAGAGGGGGAGACACAGAATCTAAAGGAGGCTCCAGGCTCTGAGCTGTCAGCACGGAGCCCAATGCAGGGCTCAAACCCACAAACTATGAGATCATGACCTTTGCTGAAGTCGGACGCTTAACCGACTGAGCCACCCAGGCGCTCCATGTCCCATAACTTTCAAAGCAGCCCCAAGTTTGTCCCTTCTAGCCAGCTCTGGGTTAAGAGGTGTCTTAACCCAGATGACCATCTTTTCCGGCCTGGAAGGGTACGCAAAACTCCTAACGGCCTCTCCATCGTTTCCACAGGAAAGGATGCTATTCACACAAAAGAGCAATCCCCTCAACCATGAGTCAGATTATGTCACTCTCTGCTCGAAACCTCCCAATGGCTTCGCACGAGCCTTCAAATAAAACCCAAACCTTCCAGGTCCTGCAGGATCAGATCCCTGTCTGCTTCTCCTTCTCCCAGGGTAGTTTAGCTAACCGCTCAAGCTCAACCCGACTCCTTGTAATTCCCTATTCCAGAACCCTGTTTATTGCCTTTATTACCCATATTAAGGTGTGAGAGGTTTCTACGTATATCTATCATTGTTTGCTTGCCTTCTTTTCTATCAGATGTAAGTTTCACGGGGTGGGGTGGTATCCGTCTTACTAACCATTATATACCTAGATGGAGCATATCACCTGACGCACAGTAGGTGCTGCATAAATCATGAATGAATGAATGAATGAATGAATGAATGAAGTTGTTCAGTGCCATACCCAGCACTTACAGCACAGTCAGTCACAAAGTTAGCTCCCTCTCTCTTCCCCCTCCTTTCTGCTCTCTCTACCTCGGCCCCCGGAGCCTTCAGGTAAAGGACAAATACCCTTCCTCAGAGAGGAAACACAGCGACATCCAATGTCATCACTGCTTTATTTGATTAGCTCTGACTCCGGCATCCGGGACACGTGTGCTGGGAGCCAAAGCAACCGTACCCTGACCTCTGGTCCACGCGAAACCATCCTTCTAACGATTTCCATGACAACAGCAAGAGAAAGCCAAGGCTGTGAATTCCCTTTGATAGGAGCCGGATGCAGGGATGGGGAAGAAGGACTTTCAGAAGAATGAAGCTCTTTGATTCGGCTTGAGGCGCCTTCATTAAACACCACTATTTTTTAAGAACACACATTTTAACCCTGCAGAGGAAGGCTGCTCACGAATACTTGAAAAAGGAAGGAAAAGGAGGAACAAAACCATCAGGCTTCCTTTTCAAGAACAATCACCTGTGGGGAGGGGGACGCTTGGAGGCTGTGGCATCAGGAATATTTTGGTGGGAGGCAGGAAGGAGCACCTGGACCCCTGCCTAGGGGGCTGCATGAGCCCAAGATGCCTGGGTCCCGACCAAGTGCTCAGATACCTCTGCCCCCTTGAGGCAAGTCAAAAGGCCCAGGGTCTTCCGCCCACGTGGACAGCCAAACAGAAAGGCCAAGGAACCCCGGGGTTGGACAGTTCGGATCACGAGCCCTGGATATGAATCCCAGCTCTGCCACTTAGCTGCCGTGCACCTCACTTCCCATCTCTGGACAGGATTTCCCCATCTGTAAAAGGGGCACCGTATCACTTCCCTTCCCCCGAGAGTAAGAAGGGGATGAGGACTGAGTATGGGGATGCATTTAAGCCCAGGGGATTCTCGCTTTCTGACACGGCCATGAAGAGAATAGAGTGACCATCTGTCTTGTTTTTTTCCGGCGCTTGCCCAGGACATGGGACGTCCAGCCTTCAAACTCGGACAGTGCAGGACTAGCCGGGACGGCTGGTCACCCTAAAGGAGCATGGCTGCTAAACGAAGGAACAGCTAAAAAAATCATGGAATTGTTAAGAGAAAAGGGCCCTTTGGTGTCCAGAGGGCACCTGCACTGCACTCTGGGGTGGTCTGTCCCCAAACTTACCAGCCTGGTCCAATCGTGACAAAACCACCACATAAAGCCAGATTGGGCGGGACACTCTACAGGATACCTGGCCAGTCCTCCTCAAAACTGTCCAAGTCAGGAAAAGCAAGGCAAGACTGGGAACCCGGCCCGGCCCAGAGGACACCGGGCAGGCTGGACGACCCAACACGGTGTCGTGCCCTGGGCAGGATTGTGGAACGGGAACTAATGGAATCCAAGAATTAATGGGGAAACCCATGAAATCAGATTCACGTCTGGAATTTCGTTTGAAAGACAAGGTTTTCTCCCTTAGGTAATAGATCTCTATCTGAAACCTTTCACTTGACAGGCGAAAAACGGACACCAGAGATAGGAGGCGGAGAAAGTTCTGGATCCGGTTTCTAAGACCTGGAGCTAGACTCTGCAGCCTCCCGCTGCCTTCCTGGGGACCTGCTGACCTTCATGAGCATCTCCAGGAGGAAGAGAGAAGAGCAGTGGTCTTGGGGTCGGGGAATGTGGGTTCAAGGCCCGGCTCTGCCTTTGACTGGCTGTGCGACCTCAGGCAAATCCCTCACCCTCTCTGTTCCCGAGTTTCCTCACTTGTCAAATGAGGTGGATGACACCATTGAATTCAACAGGCAGGCATTTAGTCAGTGTTTATTATGTGCGATGGACGGGATAGGTGTCATCCGACATGATTAAAGCATAGTCTTGCCCTCAGGAAGTATATCGTTTTGCCTGTGAGTCCAGAAAGTACAGATCACCCATCTAAGTCCCTGGGGATATTCTGTGGAGACAGAGAAGCCCGCAGCCAAGTGGCAGGACTGAGGCTACGTGACAGAAGGCCAGAGAAGGAAGAAGAAGGGAGGGCAATGCTCTGGGAAGGTGAGGTGGTGAGGGCAGCAGGAAATGCCTTCCATCTCTCCACGCCTGGCTTCAGCACATGTGGTTTATTAGCAGGACAGTGTGGGGCTTAGAAGTAACCCCGAATGCACGGGCACCACACCCCCAGTGGGGCTCTGAGTGCCCCTGCGTTGTTTCCAGCTCACCCCCCATGCGGTCAGGTAGCACCCTGTGTCCCTGCTGTGATATTCCACTGTGGGACCTCTCTCCCCAAGTCCCGCATCCCCTCTGCGGGATCTGATCTCCTCACCCCCTCAACCCCTTGCTTCCCTGGGCTGCGCCCGCTGCATCTCCCCCAGTCCTTGGCTCCTGCGTGGTCTCACCTCCCATCTGCGTCCAGTCCTCCCCTGAGGCAGCCGGGGAAGGTGCAGCCCTGAGTTCGAATCCCGGCTCTGACACTTTCTAGCTGCCTGCCTTCGGGTGGGTCTCCTCCCCTCCTTGCCTCCCAGTCTCCTCCCTTTGGAAAATGGAGCTGAGAACCCTGGAGACCTCGGTGGAGAACTCGACCCACCAGCCTAGATACAGCAAGTGCTACATGGTGGGCGCTCCAGAAGATGACAGCCAGAGATCAACATCATTACAATTCTAATTGGCAAATGGCTGCTGCTGGTGGTGGTTCAGGCTTTGCTCTGTCAGCACCATTACCCGTTGTTTCATACCCAGCCTGGGCGGCCACCACACGACACGCGCAGGCGCGCTGCCCTAAGCCATTCTGCTGTAGTCCCCCTATCTGACCACGCCCTCGGGATGCCTTCTGCCTCAGCCCTGAAGAAGGGAACTGGACTCCCTGGTTGTTTACAATCCCCTCGTTCTCATTTATAAGCCCCCTGCATGTGACCCGCTCAGCCCCGCGGTGTCCCACTCTTCCTGCAGGTCAGATGGCAGCGCTGTGGCCGCAGCCATCCCCATCCCCTGGCGGGCTGCAGCATCCTCCCCAGCCTAGTCCCGAGGGGACCCACGACACCCACCTGGCTGTGCACCTTCTCCAGCTCCTCCTTGCTGACCGACGTCTTGCTATCCTCCATGCTCCCCAGAAGGAGCTGCACGTCTGACAATAGCGCATGAGTCCTTTTGAGGTCCCTCCGGAGACGCTTCTCCACGTCAAAGTCCCGATGGCCGATCTGGAAGCCAAGGGAAGGCTCTCGTGAGCTGAGATAGCAGAGCAGTGGCCAGGGTCCAAGTTCTCCGGAACCAGGCTTCCCTGGGTTTAAATCTTGCCCCCGCCTCTCACACTGTGGGACCTTGGACAAAATGCTTCTCCCCGAGCCTCAGTTTCCACACTCGCAAAATGGGAATGGCATCAACCACAGGGGGCTGTCACGGGAATCAGAAAGGTGTTTAGCCGGAGGCCTAGTAAGCTGTGCCCATAGCTGCCATCACAGCCTGTAAGGCTCCAAAGTCACCGTGTCTCGACCTTGGCACCAAAGCCATCAATATGGCCTCTCCCCACCTTGTAAGAGCCTGCAGGTCAGGTGAGGCCCTCTGGTGACAGAAGTGAGGACAGCAGTTACCCTACAGGGTCAGGGGCTAGATAGGGCAGAAGAAATCGGGAGCATCTGTTAATGCTACTCCTGTGGGTGGTACTTCTCGGGGTTTATGACAATTCATTGAGCTGAAAGGGAGGGGTCCGGTGTGCTCCTCTGCATGCATGTTACACTTCCGTAAATAGTATTGAAAATAGCTGTGCTGCTTTTGGAGATCTAAGTCAAGGCTTGCTGTCCCTTGAGCTGGTCTCCTTTCCAGGTTAAGGCGTTAGTTCATTTTCTGCAAAAAGATGTTACCCAACAAGTGGGCACATTCCATCCCCCGAATCCCTGAATTTGTAGGCCTTCTGAGCAGGCAGTTGTCCAGGGGCCCCTACAGAAGCCACGTTTCTGGACTTGGCACCAGGAGGGTGACAACTCTCAGTGGCCACCAGAGGGAGGGGCGGGATCCCCAGAGGCCCGACAAGAGACACCGACAGCCCACAGTCTCACCTAGAAACGGCGCCGACTGGAAAAACACTAGTGAGCATCTCTGAAAGTCTGGAAGAAGCTAACAGCCCCTTGGGGCGCCTGGGTGGCTCCAGCAGTTAAACATCCGACTCTTGGTTTTGGCTCCCGGTTCATGAGTTCAAGTCCCATGCTGAGCTCTTACTGCCTGTGCAGAGCCTGCATGGGATTCTCTCTTTCTCCCTCTCTCTCTCTGCCCCTCCCCTGCTAGTGCTCTCTCTCTCTCTCTCTCTCTCAAAATAAATAATTGAAAAAAAAAAAAAAAAGAAAGAAAGAAACTAACAGCTCCCTTCTAGGACTCTCCAGAGACTAGCAGAAAGAATACAGCACCATTTACCAGATGAGCTTTCAACAAAATGGGGTGTAAGTATGTTTCAACAGTGGGACCCAATTTCCACACACCTGGATACCTGTGCCTCTCAACAACCATTTCCTGGGATGCTCAGAATGCCCCAGAATATTCTAGAAAGAAGGTAGGGTTTAGAATGGGGCGGCCCAGGTTTTCACCCCTGGCTTGCCATTTGCTAGCATTGGGAAGCATGGTGGAATCCTGCCACCTCTCTGCACCCGAATCTCCTTGTCGACAAAAATAAGGTGAAAAAAACCTCTACCCTCCCTGTTGAGATAAGACAAAGACCAGGCATGATAATGGATCAGAAAGCACTTTGTATGCTGTCAAGGGCTTCACAAATATAAAGAATTATGAGTATTGTCTGATGACCTAGAATGCACTCCTCTAGATTGTGCGTTCCTATTTCTTGGCGACCGGCTTTGGATTCTTTGAAGAATGAGTTGGTTCTTCGAATATAGCCTCTTTGTTCTCAGATGTATTGCTTTGTTAAGTTTTAAATGCTGTTCGTATATATATATGAATGTATACGTTATATAACCTCACCTGCTGAGCTGAGATCAGGACTGGGCATTGTGCCAGGCCCTCTGTCACATGTTACTGCATCTAACTTCTGTGACAATCTCTTAAAAATAGACATTATTACTATTGCCTTTAGAGAAGCAGTAATAGCTTACATTTATAGAGAGATTTCTAAGTGTCAGACCCTGTTCGAAACCCTTTAGGAAAATTAACGCGTTTGGTCCTCATGAAGAATCTACGAGGGATGCAGTATTCTGAGGCCCATTTTACAGGTGATGAAGCTGATGCCCACAGAGGGGGGCAGTAACCAGCCCATGACCACACAGCTAGGAAGTGGAAGAGTTTGGATAGGAATGCAGCTGTCCTGGCCAGAAAGAGGTAATTTTAGTGAAATGTATGGTCAAAGAGGTATGTTCTGCTTTTTAATTTAAGGGAAAGCGGGGTAGAGGCATGGAGGAGTGTCACCCAGCTCAGGCTGGGATGGGATCCGGAAGGGTCTTAGGTAAGTGAGAGCCAGGTGAGGTGTGGGAAGGGTGTTCCAAGAAGAAGCCATGGCGTGAGCAATGACAGAAGGCTGGGAACGTCTTGTAGATCTGGTTCTGAGTGATCGGCATGAGGGCGTAGAACACGGAGGTGGGGCAGGTGGCCTGGGGCCGGCTCATGTCTTGTGAGCTGCGTGGGACTCCTAAGTAGGTACCGCCACAGGAAAGTGGAGGTACGGCTGATAAAATTGACATGGAGAGAGTAGGTGCTCTCTCTACACAAGGTTGCGGAGTGGCTGTGCATGAACCTGGGCGGCACACTATTAGAATGCAAGTCTCTAACCACTGCACGGCAGAGCCTGGGGGAACCTGAATCCGGAATCACTCATTCGAGCCCCGGTTCATTACCGTGATTCCATTCAAGAGGCCTACTGGCATCTGTCTTATTTTTATACCTGTTCTTGCTCTTTACCCATCCCCCATGTAAAGAGCATTCCTTCGCCTCCGGGGCAGGTTGGCATCATGGTCACTCCCTAAATGATGGGACTGACCATGGCTCAGATTCTAGCAGCGTACTGCCAGGAAGACCCTGAAAATACAACCACCCCATCTCCTTTGTAGAGGGGCCTTTGCAAAGAAAACACACAGCAAAATCTCGGACCAAGTCACCCTCCTCTTCATAATGAGTCGCCACAAGAGAGGAGGGGAAAAAAGAAAGAGAAAGGAAGCTCATTAGGTTAATGGGAAATAAATGTCATTCTGCAAGTTTGCATTCTGTAGTACAAAGATTCAAATTTGGATAAAGCTGGTGAATAATTAACCAATAAATCTAAATGATGTTTAGTGTTGTTGTGGGGAACTACATTCAAACCTCAACTGTTTCAGCATTTATCATGAAGCCAAATTGTCCGGAGCAGTTGTCAAATGTCTGTTGTCGGGGCACCTGAGTGGCTCAGTGGGTTAAGCATTTGACTTTGGCTCAGGTCATGGTCTCACGGTTGGTGAGTTGGAGGCCGCATCAGGCTCTCTGCTGTCAGCCCAGAGCCCACTTCAGATCCTCTCTCTCTCTCCAGCCCTCCCCTGCTCACTCTCTTTCTCTCTCTCAAAAATAAATAAACATCTAAAAAGAACGTCTGTTTCCAAAGACCCCTCTGAGCCCTTTAAAAACATAATCTGGAAATGCCATTAGGGATAATCAAGTCACTTTACAGATGGGGAAATTGAGGCTAGGAGAGAGAATGGATAACATTCTTTAAAAAATCAACACAGTCAACAAAAGTATGATTCTAACTAACTGGATCTTAATCTTTTTTTTTTTTGGACCTTAATCATTTAAAAAAATTTGTAATGTTTATATATTTTTGAGAGACAGAGAGAGAGCATGAATGGGGGAGGGGCAGAGAGGGAGTAAGACACAGAATCCGAAGCAGGCTCTGGTCTCTGAGTTGTCAGCACAGAGCCCAATGCAGGGTTCGAAGTCACGAGCTGTCAGATCATGACCTGAGCTGAAGTCAGACACTTAACCCACTGAGCCACACAGGTGCCCCAGGAACTTAATCATTTTTTAGCAGCATAGTGCTAGGTTTTAAAAATACGGGACTTTCAAACAATATAGACCCCATTTCAAACCCACTTGGGCCACTAACAAGCTATATGATCTTGGGAAATTTCTTTTAGCTTTTAAGCTTCACTTTTATCATTTATGAAGGAACTAATAATACCTATCCTACAGCATTGTTGTAAAAATCAAATACAGTACGTTAGAAAAAATATAATTAAATAGTTATCTACCACAAGAATAGAAACATGGTTTGTAGTTTAGAACAAGCATAGAACAAAAGGGATTATAGAAAACATTATCAAAGTATCCAAAAGCAGGAAACGAAAAAAAGAAGAAACAAAGAGGGGAACCTGAGTGGCTCAGTCGGTTATGCATCCAACTTTAGCTCAGGTCACGATCTCATGGTTCAGGACATCAAGCCCCATGTTGGGCTCTGTGCTAACAGCTCAGAGCCTGGAGCCTGAAGCCTGCTTAATATTCTGTGTCCCTCTCTCTCTTTGCCTCTCCCCAGCTCACACACTTACTCTCTCTCAAAATTAAACAAACATTGGGGCACCTGGGTGGCTCAGTTGGTTGCGTGTCCGACTTCAGCTCAGGTCATGATCTTACAGTCTGTGAGTTCGAGCCCCGCATCAGGCTCTTGCTGATGGCTCGGAGCCTGGTGTCTGCTTTGGATTCTGTGTCTCCCTTTCTCTCCACCCTTCCCCTGCTCATGCTGTATCCCTGACTCTCTCTCTCATAAATAAACATTAAAAAAAACCTAGGAATAAGCCTAACCAAAGATATAGGAGATCTGTATGATGAAAACTATAGAAAACTTATGAAGGAAATTGAAGAAGACACAAAGAAATGGAAAAACATTCCATGCTCATGGGTTGGAAGAATAAATATTGTTAAAATGTCATTACTACCCAAAGCAATCTACACATTCAATGCTATCCTAATCAAAATTGCACCAGCATTCTTCTCAAATCTAGAACAAACTATCCTAAAATTTATATGGAACCACAAAAGACCCTGAATAGCCAAAATTATATTGAAGAAGAAAACCAAAATGGGAGGCATCACCATCCCAGACTTTAGCCTCTACTACGAAGCTGTCATCATCAAGAGAGTATCTTATTGGCACAAAAACAGACACAGACCAATGGAATAGAATAGAGAACTCAGAATTGGACCCACAAATGTATGGCCAACTAACCTTTGACAAAGCAGGAAAGAGTGTCCAATGGAAAAAAGACAATCTCTTTAACAGATGGTGCTGGGAGAACTCGACAGCATCATGCAGAAGAATGAAACTAGATCATTTTCTCACACCATACACAGAAATACACTCAAAATGGATAAAGGACCTGAATGTGAGACAGGAAACCATCAAAACCCCAGAGGAGAAAGCAGGAAACAACCTCCTTGACCTCCACCACAGCAATTTCTTACTTGACATGTCCCCAAAGGCAAAGGAATCAAGAGCAGAAATGAACTATTGGGACCTCATCAAGATTAAAAGCTTCTTCACAGCCAAGGAAATCATCCATAAAACTAATAGGCAACTGACGGAATGGGAAAAGATAGTTGCAAATGACATATCAGATAAAGGGCTAGTATCCAAAATCTATAAGGAACTCACCAAACTCCACACCCGAGAAACAAACAACCCAGCGAAGAAATGGGCAGAAGATATGAACAGACACTTCTCCAAAGAGGACATCCAGATGGCCAACAGACACATGAAACGATGCTCAGTATCCCTCATCATCAGGGAAATGCAGATCAAAACCACACTGAGATACTACCTCACACCAGTCAGAGTGGCTAAAATGAACAAATCAGGAGACTCTGGATGCTGGTGAGGATGTGGAGAAACGGGCACCCTCCTACACTGCTGGTGGGAATGTAAACTGGGGCAGCCCCTCTGGAAAACAGTATGGAGGTTCCTCAAAAAATTAACAATAGAACTCCCCTATGACCCAGCAATAGCACTGCTAGGAATTTACCCAAGGGATACAGGAGTGCTGATGCATAGGAGCACATGTACCCCAATGTTCATAGCAGCACTCTCAACAATAGCCAAAACATGGAAAGAGCCTAAGTGTCCATAAACTGATGAATAGATCAAGAAGATGTGGTTTATCTATAAGATGGAATACTACATGGCAATGAGAAAGAAGGAAATCTGGCCATGTGTAGCAACATGGATGGAACTTGAGGGTGTTATGCTGAGTGAAATAAGTCAGGCAGAGAAGGACAGATACCATATGTTTGCACATATAGGTGGATTAGGAGGAACTTAACGGAGGACCGTGGGGCAGAAGAAGGGGAAAAATAGTTGGTGAGAGGGAAGGAGGCAAACCATGAGAGACTCTTGAATGAAGAGAACAAACTGAGGGCTGATGGGGTTGGGGGAGAGGGGAGGGGAGTGATGGGCATGGAGGAGGGCACTTGTTAGGGTGAACACTCGGTGTAAAACCAACAAATATTAAACACAAAATAAGAGAATAGAAATAACTTCATTTATATTAGTTATTCCAATAGATCTAAATGAATTAGATTCTTGTATAAAAACTTCAAGACTAAAAACAGTGAATTAAACAAAATACATTTACATACACACACATTTGGAAAGGTTGAACCTGAAGGGATAAAAAAAATGTCTTGCAGACAAACTAACTAAAAGAAATCAAGCAAAATAGAATAAGGTGACACAAAGAGGGGCCATTTAATAATCAAAACAATCTGCTAAGGAAAGAAAACAATAATAAGCTTAGATGCACCTAAAAATGTAATTTCAAGATATATGCATACCCTGGCGAAACTCTGGCCCACGTGCCCAGCGACACAGATATAAGCCTAAGCTCTGCGGTTTTGTGTCCCTGAATGAAGATAACTACATATCCACCAGCAGAAGAATGGAATTAAAAGTAAAAAGAATATTGTGTAGCAGTTCAGATGAATGAATTAGAGCTACGTGGATTATCATGAACTGACCTCATAAACATGGTACGGAAGGGAACAAAGTAAAATGCAAAGTCATATATACTGTATGCATGTGGTTACGTTTTTAAAAAATCTTTAATGTCTATTTGTTTTTGAGGGTGAGGGGCAGAGAGAGAGGGAGACACAGAATCGGAAGCAGGCTCCAGGGTCTGAGCTGTCAGCACAGAGCCTGACGCGGAACTCGAATCCACAAACTGCGAGATCATGACCTGAGCCGAAGTCGGATGCTTAATGTACTGGGCCACCCAGGTGCCCCCGTGGTTAAGATTAAGTACACATGCAGTGGAATCCACGTTGCCTTCCTCTGGGAGGAAAGGAAGAAGGAAGAAGGGATGGAAACCAAGGGGCCACCTTGGTTTTTGCAGTATGTTTCCTTTCCTTAAAAAATATCTGAATGTAATACAGCAAAGCTTTAATTTATGTGAGCCGTGGGTGCTTGGTGCATAAGCATGAATTCCATTATTCATTCTACTTTTTCCGTGTGTTTGGCAAGTGTCTTAATAAAACATTAAAGATTACCAAATGTGATCATTTATTTAGAGGCCCCAGCTTGGTGACTAACACAAAATTAGCATTTTATTCATCTCAAAGCACCTTCCCTTTGCACAGAAGATGTTTCATTTCAGCAATATCTATAAAAGTCTTTCCTTCCTAGTTTACCTACTTTGTTAGCTCCCCCGGACCCTGGTGAATAGAACGCCACCTTCTCCCAGTGATCTCCCCGCTCTCGTTCTAGAATCAAGTATCAGGCTGGGCTCTCTTGCACGAGTGCTAATGAAAGAGTAACCCCAATGGCTCTGCACTCAATGGCCCCAGTTTGAGTGGCTGAGAAGGATGATGTCGAAGCTTTCCCGTTGCCTCCTTCCGCTCCTGACCTCGATGCTCAATGCTGTAGTGACTCTGCACTAGGATTCACTCATTTAATCAATTTTTAAAAAATCCAGAATGAGCACCTATTTGTCTAAGGCCTGGCTGTCCTAGCTGGCCATTTGAAGAGGGGCCCACATTCCTTCATGAGCAGAAGGGGTAACTCTGGTGATTGACAGTGAGGGCCCTGCTAATTAAAAGGCAATGAAGGCACATTGAGCACATCCATTAAAATACACTCCCGTGATGCTTTCAGAGGCATCATAGAAGCCACGGGCGTCCCCCCAATGCTGACATTCCACGCTGCGGTACTACAGGCAGGGAAAGGAATTTGGGGGAGACGGAGCTGTGATTCCTCCCAGCTGGGAAACCAGGGGCTGGGGCCGGGCCCTGCGGGCTGCTTTCTTTACAGCTGTGGTTTTCTGACTCTGTGCTCAAGGGGCCTTTGGTGAGGTCTGTAGACATTTCTGGTTGTCACCAGGCAAGGGGAAAGGTGGGCTGCTGGTGCGCAGCAGGCAGAGGCCAGGTACGCTGCGGAACATAGTACGAAGCGCGAGACGGCCTCCCTATGACAAAGGATGGTGTGGCTTGAAGTGTCCACAGGGCTGCAGTTGAGAACCTTCGTGTCCAGATGTGGCAACGTCCCCCGGGGCTCCACCTTCCAGAAGCTCAGGGCCGTGAATTAGCTCACCCCGAGCCAGGCGGACGGAAGTGGCCCGGCGAGGGCTTAAAGCCATATTTGCCTGACTCTGAGTCTGCTGCCTCTGGCAACGGGCTTGTGCTCACAAGGCCAGCTGTGGACAGAGCGACCATTCTCGGCCACCCCGCTGAAGCAAGGGCTGCCTCCGCCCTCTCCCCGCCAGCCTGCCGAAGGCAAGGCGACCTCGTCCGCCACTTCTGGAGGGGCCCACCCCACGTGTTCTCATGGTTCTTCCAAGAACTCCGCTGTATGTGGACCCTAGAAGGTGTCCTTTGAAGAGCCAGTGAGTGGGGACAGGGCCGGAATTGATGGGGATGAGGGCACTGGGGAGGCTGGCTGAAACGACCGGCCTCTGGCATTCCCTCCCCCTGAATCCGAGTCTCTCCCAGTGGCTGGGGGCAGGGACTGCGTTCTCTCAAAGCGCCTGCTGGTGTCTGCCGCTTACCTGATCGCAGAGGGTTCCAATCAAGCCTTCCAAATCCTGCTTCTCATGGAGGACCATCTGCTTCTCCTCGTATTCTTGTTCCAGCTGCATTTCCAGCTGGCGGAGCTGCGGACACACACATGGGCTGCATGAGCTCCTTCCAGACACAGTCTACGAGGCAGGGACCCTCTGGAGGGCGGGAGGGCTGTGAAGCTCACGGCCCCCTGCCCAGCTCCACAGAGGCCGCCCTGGCGTCTCTGTCAGAGAACCCAGGAGCCCAGAAGCCCGGGAGCCTGACTACGATGGGGAGAGCCGGCCGCTTATGGGGAGCCCCCTGCCATCCGCTGTGAAGCGCCCACCCCGAGATCCCCCCCATACCTAACAGGTGTTTCCTCCTTCCTATGCCACGATCCTGCTCGAGTATTTGTGGATCTAAGCATTCTGACTTTTAAAGCCTCCGTACGACATTATCTCTGGTGTATTAACATGCAGCCACCTTCTTTATTAAAGAGACCGGGAATCCATGCTGTTAAAAAGAAGTCTGCCTTTGAGATTACGTGGTGTCACGGACTATGAGTTCGGGTCTCTCCAAACTTCCTATGTTGAAATTCTAACACTCTGACACAGGACTCGTTGAAGATGGGCCTTTAGGAGATAATTGGGTTTAGATGAAGTTCATGAGGGTGGAGCCCCCATGCTGGGATTAGTGTCCTTTATAAGAAGAGACAGCAGAGGGGAGCCTGGGTGGCTCAGTTGGTTACGCATCCAACTTCAGCTCAGGTCGTGATCTCAACGCTCGTGAGTTCAAGCCCCGGCTCTGTGCTGTGGGCCAGAGCCCACCTTGGATCCTCCACCTCCCTCTCTCTCTGCCCCTCCCCCACTAGCACGCATGCGCACACTCTCTCTCTTCAAAAATAAATAAATGAACATTAAAAAAAAATAAGAGACAGCAGAGAGCCTGCTTCCTCTGCTTCTCTCCACCATGTGAGGATGCAGCAAAAAGATGGTTGTCCCCGTGTCGGTAAACCGGGAAGAGGGCCCTCACCAGACGCTCAATCTGCCGGCCACTTGATCTTGGACTTGCCGACCCCCAGAACCGTGACAAGTGAGTTTTGTGTCCAGCCCGCAGTCTATGATTTTCTGTTACAGTAGTCCAAATAGATAAGACATTTGGTTACAAGGAACTCAGTCCATTTACACTTGACTCTGATTTCTCTAGCCACCCCTCAAAGGCAGGAGTTTCCCCACCGAAGCAAATACCCCAACTGTAACCGCTTTGCACACCCTCCTCCCCACCAGCCTGTCTCCTACGTGTTATCTCCCCCTCCCCTTCACCTGCCTTTCCATGCTATCGGTGACCCTGTTTCACAGATGGGTAAACTGAGAGAGAAGCTGTCAGGCACACACTCCCGAGTGAGTTGTGGCTGAGAGCCGTTAGGGCTCTATCTTCTGCTCCCAGCTCTTCTGCCACCCCAGACAGCCATCAGCTTTCCCAACCGGGTGCTAAAACAATCGATTCCCTGCCATGGCGAGAAAGAGAGATGGAGCTGAGCAGCGTGACATGTGAAGCCCATGTGAGTGCTTGTCGTAAGGAGAAAAACACCTTTCTCTGACCTCACCCTCTCCCTTTATAAATCTGTCCACGGAAAAGCCTCAGGAGGCTCTGGGTCACATCTCCACCTCACTGGGGCCCCAGGTCAGGGCACCCGTGATGCTCTGCGGTAATTTTAGAATGCCTCAGAAATGGTGCAACCTTCACCTGAGGGCGCACAGGAAGGGACTGAGGGCTTCCATCTCCTGACCCATGGAGGGGCAAAAAAGCACTGATTGATGGTCACTTAGGTAGAAAGCAAGTTCATTTCAGAACTTTCTTTTAACAGAGAGAGAAACAAGGCACTCCGCTTGCATCTGCTTTTAGAGGGAAGACAGGCAAAGCTGAAACTCATTTGAAAAATTCATATTTGGAAAAAGAGGGGCATGTGGGTGGTTCAGTCGGTTAGGCCTCCAACTTGGGCTCAGGTCATGATCTCACGGTCCGTGAGTTCGAGCTCCGTGTTGGGCTCTGTGCTGACAGATCAGAGCCTGGAGCCTGCTTCAGATTCTGTGTCTCCCTCTCTCTCTGCCCCTCCTCCCCACCTCTCTTTCTCAAAAATAAACAAACATTTAAAAAAGTGTTTAGGTGTCCGATTTCAGCTCAGGTCATGATGTTGCAGTCCATGGGTTCAAGCCCCGCATCGGGTTCTGTGCTGACAGCCTGCTTCAGGTTCTGTGTCTCTCTCTGCCCCTCCCCTGCTTGTGCTCTGTCTCTCTCTATCTCTCAAGAATAAATAAACATTTAAAAAATTTAAAAATTTTTAAGAAAAATACACAAAATAATAAAAACTATATGTCAAGCAAGGCCAAATTTCCTGGAGTGTGCTCTGTGGGATGTTTCCCCTTGGTGTTCACAAGGGTGATGGGAATGTAGGTGAAGGATGGACAAAAGTCCGTGCTAGAATCTGAGTTAATAGTTTCTTCAGTGCAAGACTTATCAGAGCCTTTGGCAAGTTCATGTGCACTAATGGATGCAGCAACATCGCCTAAGGCTGACTTCTATCAATGCTTCCTAAAATGGCCTTCCACGGTCCAAATGTTTGCAAAAGAAAAAAAATTTCAATCTAGTATTTTGTTTTTTTTTTAAAAAAGAATTTTAATGTTTTATTTAATTCTGAGAGAGGGAGAGAGAGAGAGAGAGATAGCGTGAGCAGGGGAGGGTCAGAGAGAGAGGGAGATACACAATCCGAAACAGGCTCCAGGCTCTGAGCTGTCAGCACAGAGCCTACGCGGGGCTTGAACCCACAAACCGTGAGATCATGACCTGAGCCGAAGTCGGACGATTAACCGACTGAACCATCCAGGTGCCCCTCTAGTATTTTGGTTAAGAGACCAGGCTTTGGAACGAGACGGACCTAAGTTCAAGTCCTAGCTTTGCTGCTTCCTGGCTGGGCAACTTTGGGCAACTCACTTCACCTTTGTGAACTCTGGTTTCCTCACCTGTGAACCAGGACAATCAATCTTTACAGTGCTCCTCAGAGGGGCAAATAAACGGATGGACATAAAGAACCCAGCCTGGTGCCTGGCACCCACTGGGTGTTCAAAGTTTCCCATTTGTTTCTCCCAGATGGGTAATAACTGGCCCCCTCGTGCAAACTCCCCACACTTTCCAGTTTACAAGGTACTTCCTAGTCTTTTATCTCTTCGGTACAATAGCCCAGGAAGGCGGAACATTTTCTATCATTGCTCCAATTTTACAGATGAGAAAACGGAGTCTCCGGGAGGCAATGGGGCATAGAAGTCTGGATGAGTCCAAAAACCACTGACTCTTTCCAACCCTGGGGAGTTTGGGAAGGAATGCACTCCGTTCCTCGGGATCATCCATGTGAACCTCCAGAGGGGTGGAGCTTTGATGGGACCCCAAAAAAGAGTATTTAAAGAGCAGACAGGCAGCAGCTACAGTAGCATCATCCACTGGGGGTGAAAAACAGGCTTGGCTCTCAAACACTACCCCGGAGTCAGGTCAGGGCACACAGCAGTCAGATCTGCCGGGGACGTGTCAGCTAGATGCCCGTCTTCTGCCGAGGCTCTGACAGTCACAAGGCGCCCTCAGTCCTGCCCAGGACGATGCTCTCAGCTGTGAGCCCCTTGGGGTGCCAAGTCCTCCCACACCCTGCTCCTCCCAGCTGGATGAATCACACCCAGGAGCAAGCCAACCGCCTGGCTGGTTCACAGCCTGGAAACCGGCACGCACACCAATATTGCTCGTTAAGCGTCCGTCACAAGGATCACATCACAAAACCATGCAATGTCTCCCCATCCGTGCTCTCCCTGCCCTTCACTGTGACCCTGCAAATAGCCATGTTATCCCGTTCCACAGATGAGATCAGTGGAGCTTACTAGCGAGGTCACGTGGTCTCTGCAATGCCCCACGCTTGGTAGCGGATGACGCTGGGCTTGACCCAAGCTGCCATGACTCCAAATTAAGTAGCAACACTGGCTTTCTGGTGCAGCTTCTACACAGTCCGTGAGTGACCAGCACTGGATACAGAGCAAGGAGCCAAGGAATAGGATGGACTTTAGTAGGAGTTGAAGCTTTTAAATCACCTTTCCAAGATGACACAGTTGGTAAAGTGGAAAAGCAAAGATCGAGACCAAACCAAGAGTCTGGGAATTCCAACACCCAGGCCCTTAAGCCCTACAGTCTGGACGTCTCCGTAGACAGTCTGCCTAGGGAGCCAAGAGCAGGAGTCAGTGTTAGGAATGCTCCTAGGCCCCCTCTTGGAGATTCAAATGTACACAGAGCCACGAAAGATCTGCAGGGGTCCCGCAGCGAGGAAACCTATTAACTGAGCCAGACCCCAAAGCGTTCCAGCCCCTCCACTGAAAGGACTCATCTTACATTCACGTCAGTCAATGCATCCATGAGGGTGTTTATCTCAGCATTGGTTACAATAACAGGTGATCTGAAAATCCTGAATGCCCAGCCACAGGGGACTGGTTGAACAAATGACAGCGTGTGGACTCTGCTTTGAAGCTCTTAAGTATGTACAGTAGACCGGTGTTTACTGATCCGGAAAGAGGAGAGAGGCCAAGGACAAACTGCTGAGTGAAAGGCTTCAAGACAGCATGACCCCCTTCAGATAAAATGGTATCTCAACAATATGTATGTGCATGTATGTGTCTACCAAGACAGAGAGATACTAAATGACTTTTAAAATAGTAACAGGGGCGCCTGGGTGGCTCAGTCAGTTAAGCGTCCGACTTCGGCTCAGGTCATGATCTCACAGTTCGTGGGTTCGAGCCCTGCATAGGGCTCTATGCTGACCACTTGGAGCCTGGAGCCTGCTTCGGATTCCGTGTCTCCTGCTCACTCTGTCCCTCCCCCACTTGTGCTCCGTCTTTCCCCCTGTCTCTCAAAAGTAAATAAATGTAAAAAAAATTTTTCTTTTAATTTAAAATAGTAATAATGATGGTTTCTAGATGGTAAGATTTCAAGGGCTTCTTGCTTTCTCATCCACTGTTTGAAATGTCTGCAGGAGCTCGGATGAAGTGCGAGAAATTGTTTGTAAAGGAAATAGCCAGAAAGGACAGGTCCCCGTCTTGAGATGTGGGAGTCCTTCCCCAAGGTCTAAGTCACATGGAAGTATGGGCTTTGGGCAGAAATCTTGGGGTGATTATGCTTGGGAGTTCCAGAGGCTTCTGGAAGCTCCAGGACCATATTGCTCTAGGACCCTTGACAGCTAAAGTGGTGGCAGAAGGAGTCGGTCCCCAGGCGCTGGAGTCCCACCCACGCTCTAAGGAAGGTGGCACCCCAGGCTGGATGTGCGAGGGCCCGAGGGGCACATACCCGCTTCTGGCAGGACTGACGGACATCTTCCAGCTCCTCCTCCTGGTCCTCACGGTCCTTCTGGTGGATCTGCTTCATCCGCTCCATCTCTAGCTCAAACCGTTGGCGGAGCTGGGAGCAGCAAGGACAGCGCGTGAGGGCGACCGGCACCAGCCGTGTCACCTGCGGTACCCCAGCTGCATTTTTCATTTCTGGGGCACAGGGATGAGAGTCCGGAAGCCCCCACAGGTCCCCGGGAAGGTCAGAAACGGTAGGTAAATAGCCCACATGCTGCCTCTATCTATCCCTTCCTGTGGTCACTACAATCATCACTAATCCATCAGGCTATTTTCTGCTGAGTTTAGATGGAAGAATCCTTAGCATCCTTCTCAACAGCTTTAATTAGTTTATTTAGTTATTTTGAGACAAAGAGAGAGAGCGTACAAGCAAGGGAGGGGCAGAGAGAGAGGGAGAGAGAGAATCCAAAGCAGCTTCTGCACCATCAGCCCAGATCCTTGCGCAGGGCTCAATCCCACGAACCGTGAGATCATGACGTGAGCCGAAATCAAGAGTCAGATGCTTAACCGACTAAGTCACCTAGGAATCTGCTTCTTGACACTTTTAAGATGAAGTATATGTCATAAAATTTTTTAAAAACTGGGGGTGGCACCTGCGTGGCTCCATTGGCTGAGCGTCCGACTTTGGTTCAGGTATTGAACTCACAGTTCGTGAGTTCAAGCCTTGCGTCGGGCTCTGTGCCGAAAGCTCGGTGCCTGGAGCCTGTTTCTGATTCTGTCTCCCTCTCTCTCTGCCCCTCCCCCACTTGTGCTCTGTCTCTCACTCTCAAAAATAAGATAACATAAAAAATTTAAAAAAATAAATGATGAAGCAAATGTGTCCTCCCAGAGCAAGCATCCTTGATGGTGTTTTGAATGAGTGGGTAGGTGGGTGGCTGGATGATAGAACAAAAGTTGATTTATGAAGGAATGAAAGCTTTCAGAGGGAGATCGCTTGCCCAGAATGTTACCTTGAACACAACTCACTTTGCCTCTGATTACTCTTCTCTGCGGAAAACAATAACCTTAAAATGCTTTATGAGAATTCAGTGAGATGGCCCACATAAAGCACCTCGCGCACTGCCTGGCACATGAGTCCAACTTTCTCTTTTGAAAACAGAAAGGACTGTCCCCTCCCTCCTGGAAGACATAATGAACAGCTGTGTCCCATGAAGGAGGTGAGTCTTTTCCATAAGAGCCTCCAAAACTTGCTCCAAGCCAACAAAGAGCCACAGTCCATGACATTTGAGCTGTATGGTGTTGTCTAGAAGGTTCTAGAATTGGAAGCAGAAGTCATGGGTTCCTGTTCTGGTTCAAGATTATACTTCTTTGATCTTGGATTCATGAGGGATTGACCCAAGCTCTTGCTTCTCAAATTCTGTGGCGTGTTAGAATTAAACAATGCAATATTTTTAAAAATTTACATTTTTAGGGCTTTGCCCTTGACCTACCACATCAAAATCTCCAGGCTCCAGGCTCCAAGAACCTATACTTTGAAGCTCTCTCTACTGTGCAGGACGGTGGTGGTGAGGCAAAGGGAGAGCGTAGCACCAAGCCCCTGCTACAGCTCCCGGCATAAAGTAAAGCTCAAGTTAAATGTCAACCTCTTTCCTCGCCTCCTTTTAAAATGACGGGTTATGGGGAGATAATCCAAAATGAGGAGCTTAAGCAAGTAAATATAATATTTCCTTTCCTTTTTTTTTTCTAGCCTCTTGGACACTCCTGACATCCGCAATGCCATTTATGTCAAGTGTATATGAGTTAACATAAAATTCCCTGGGAAAAGTGCTATATTGTGATCCATAAATATCTCCCAGTATCTACAAGGGCGCAATGCCATGCGAGGTTTGGGTGAAGCTGAGGACGGATGAAGTGTTGAATCAGCTTCGCCTCTGTGTCAGTGGAGGGTGAAAAGCTAGGAAAGTCGCATTCACTTTCAGGCCCCTGAGGTGGCAGGAGTACATTTCCACCTCTGAGCACCCAGGGGTGCCCTGGCGATGTCTTAAAGAACTAACACACTTTCCCAAGTGCTCGCTTCCTTCTTGATGTGGGATTGCTATGGGAACTGCACGATCCTCTATGTCCCTTAACGGGCCGCACAGACACTCCGCCTCCTTCGTGAACCTCCATGGAGCCCTGGCTGGGGCTGGGGAAAGCCAGGGGATTGAAGGGGGGGGGGGCGTTGCTGAGGTCTAGAGAAAACAGGGGGCTTGTCTAAGGTCATATCGACTGAGCTGCCTTGAGGACCCCACGTGGAGGCAGCCCTACTTCAGCCGCAGGACTTCCCTGCCTCCAGGCCTTGGTGCTGGCTGTTCCTCCTGCCTGGACCTCTCTCCGTGCCAAACTGGACTCACTCTTCAGTACCTGTCACATCCTCCAGTAAATGTCGCTTCATCCAGGAAGTCCTCCCTGATTGCTCCTCGCACCCTTCTCCCAAGACCTGATCGGCAAGTTGCACTTTCTCATGACCCTCAGCATGACTGCAAACTTCCAGAAGGCAGAGAGAGACCACACCTGTCTTGTTTACAGCTACATCGCGGGACGCAAAGTCCGCGTTTGATAAATTCCCGCTGGCTGAGTGAGTGAGGGACTCTGTTTTCTGGACTGCTCCAGACTCTGTCCCTCGATGCCCACCACCACCCTGGGCTTAATACTTGGCAGGCTCCGTACCAATGGAGTGAGGGTAAGTGGGAAACAAGGGCAGGTGCCTGGGCCTTCCCTCTCCTCCTCCCTCCCCCTCGCCCCAACCACCACTCTACCTTGCTTACCCAGAGCTCTCAGGGCTCATCTGCTTTACATATTCATCCTACCTGGGGTGCCTGGGTGGCTCAGGCCTCAAGCAACCCGACTCTTGATTTCATCTCAGGTCATGATCTCATAGTTGTGAGTTCAAGCCCTGCATCTGGTTCTGTGCTGACAATGCAGAGCCTGCTTGGGATTCTCTCCTCTCCCTCCTTCTCTGCTCCTCCCTCACTCTCCTCTCTCTCTCTCTCTCTATCTCTCTGAGGTGACCTTGATGCTTGCAGGATGGGAGGAGTGTGTTTGATCATGGAGGGTCTGAATGCCAGACCTGGCGGTTGAGAGGGTCTCTGGGGGTACTAGGGAGCCATAGAAGAATGAGGAGTAGTGGAGTGAGGTGAGGTGTCGGTGTTGCATTCCAATAGCCCCCACCTGCGTGGGAGCCAGCATGGGACGGGCTGTCGGCCTGGGACGGTGCTTCCTTACCTGCTCCAGCTGCTTGATGGTGTTCTCTTGCTGGTTCTGGATTCTCTCATGTTCCTGGGCACTGGATTCCAGGCTCCAGAGCCTCTCCTTCAAGCCTGCGACACCGTTTTCTCCCAGCGAGGACAACCCCACCAGCTCCCGCTTATGGGCCTGCAACTTCTCCACCTCCTGCTTCAGCTGCGAGGTTTCCTGCTCTTTTTGCTAGAGACCAAGGGGGCAGAGACCGAGAGTCACGTGACCACATGCCCATCCACCAGGGAACCCCTGACATCCCTACCTTGGGCCGGGAGCCCCGGCAGGCGCCGCTGTGGGTCACCAAGGGCTGCTCCCTGGGACAGCTCACACAGCAGGGGTGGGGGCCTTTGTGGTGGAGCAATAACTACCGTCCCCCCCAGAGTTGGTTGGGCCTCAAAGCATATAATGGGGGTGTTCGTCCATCTGTAAGCTGCATATCTGCCAAGGCTGGGATGCACACACTGGGGCAGAGAGGCAAGGGGTCCAGAACTGACTCGTCTGGGTTAAAAAGTCAGCTCCAAAGTCAGAGAACTTTGGGCTACATCAAGAAGGAGCTGAATTCCAGGCTGAGAGCTCTTAGAGGTAGCGGGGAGCCACAGAAGGGTCAGGAGCACCTGAGTAAGGTGCCTGTGTTGTACTTTAATAAAGCCCCTCTGTGCTGGGGCCTGCATGGGGCAGGGCACTGCCCCTGGATGGGGCGACAACCAACTCCTTCCTTGCCCGGCCTCTCCTACCACCCAGGTGGGCCCCTTGAAGGTGCAGAGAGATCTCATTTTCTATATTCCAACTACCGTTTGCTGTTTTAAGAATTCCTGGGGTCCATGACGCCAGCTGGCTGGCAGACCGGCATTCCCCCCGCCCCCCCACGCCGCAGAGCTCTCTCCCTGTCACTATTTCCCGCAGGTGCATGGTGGGGAGTGGGGCGTAGTTCCTGGAAGCCAGCAACTACGAGCCAGGATGGTTCCATCCCCGCCCCCACCCCGGCCCCATCCCTCACCTTCAAGCGCTGCTGAAGCTGGCCCAGTTCCCAGCGGACACTGGTGTTCTCCTGGGTCACTTTCTCGCGAAGGCCCTTCTCAAACACGGACTCCCCCAGGGCCTGTGCCAGCTGCATGTCAAACCTGTCAAGCAGAGCAGACGTCATGGCGCACGGGGGCGGGGGCCAGAAGGGCCGGAGAGGGGCCAGAAGGGCCGGAGAGCGGCGGCTAACTTGCTGAGAACCATGGGGGGGGGACACAGAACAATGGGGGGTTTTGCTCTATGCTTTTAGGTAAGGTTGCGGACGGGCAGTAGGAATGTGGGACGCCGGAGAGCGACTTTTAGGGTTTACGTGGAGTTTCGGCAAAAATAACAGAGCCGTATGTAAAACATGATTACATAAGTAAAAATAATAGAACAAAAGTATACACAGACACGGAAAAAGGATTTAAAAAAAAACCATATAGAATGATAGAAAAATCGCATCTATCTGGTTTGCCAATATATGCGAGGAAATCTTTAAATCTACAAGGCCCAGGTTTGGGGGGGTCTCATACTCATCTACCCATGAAGGAGTGAATGCATATATCTGTTCAAACAAGAGATATTTCACATTCCATCTCCTCCATTATTATTATTGATAAAAGCCTGGACATTAATACACTCAGTGTGCTCCTCATTTGTCTCCCCAGCAAAAAAAAGCACAGAGACTAGGCAGTCTTCATGGCCAGGGGATTAGGAAATGCCTCATCTGGGGGCCCCCCTTACCCTCCGGAATGCGGACCAGGATGGAGGAGAACTTTCTGGATTTGATATCATTCCATGCAGTGACCTTGGTCCCATATCACTCTCATGGATGAGGAAATGAGTACAGAAGGCTCTGGCAAGCCCCAATAAGATGTGACCTCAGCCACATGCCCTTGGCCCAGCAGAAAGTGTCACTGCTCCAGGGACCTTGGTGTGGCCAGAAGGGCTGAACGGGGCGTGGGGTCAGGGTCCTAGTGAGGAGAAAGCCTCCCTTGTTACAAGATTATCCAATGTGTCTCGAAGCTATATGGTCATTCAAAGCCTCAGGGTCCTGCGGAAATTGATCATGGGTCGCACGAGGGGGTCCCCCTGTTGGAAGAGTCCAGGGGGTATCTGATTGGCTGTTGGTGACATCATTAAGAGCTACCACTGGCCTCCCCAGTGAATATAAACACTGTGATGATGATAAGGATCCAGCCGTCCCAGGGCGCCGGGCTCTGTGCTGGGGTCCACGTAGTCTCTATAACAATTCAGCAAAAAACACGTAACGATACCCATTTCACAGAGGAGAAAACTGAAGTTCAGAGCGGCAGAGTGATTCGCCCCTAAATCCCAAAGTGGCAGAAGTGGGTTTGAGCCAGCTTCTCTACTGCCTCAGCCAATCCCCCCTCTAACTGGGGTGGTTGGGGTAGTGACAGGTGTTTCACGGGAGACCTTGACTTAACAGGCCACCTGATGCCAAAGAATGGCTCCTATGGACTCCAGCTTCTGGAACACACCAACCCCCCACCTGCCTGGGGCCAGATGGATTCGCACACACGCTTTATCCCACCAGAGGGAGGCCTGGGGTTGTACTTCCAGCACGTGTGGGAGTCGGTGAGCCCAGCACAGGCCCCCCCAAAAGGAGCCAGCCTCGGAGCTCCATCGGCCCTCGGAACCAAACTCTGTGATCCATGGGGTAACCGTGGTGACAATTAGCCAAGCCCAGATGGAAACGCGTTGGGCCACTCTGAACCTGGAAGTCACGTTGGGGACAGCGACAGAGACAGGAGTCCATCCAGGGCCCATCAAACTGAGGAGGTGGCTCCGTCTACAATTCCATTAAACTTGGAGAGATTATGAAGAAGTACTGCTGGCTTCTCGATCTTTCCCTGGCTACAGCCATTTTGCCTGGATTCCCACCATTAGACTGAGGCTTCTATTGCCTTCAGCCTCCCTGCTGAATTGCTGGCCCACCTTGAAAGAAAATGGCAGCCATTCGCTATGAGCATCAAAATGTGAATTAATTTCTGCCAGGGGGTGGCCGAGGGGTAGGGAAGCATCACAGGACAGGTTAGTCTTTGAAGGAAGAAATGGGATCTTTCGCAGGAGGGTACCACAGGGAGGTACTTGAGAGACTGGAATGAAAGATTTTGCTCAAGGGGGTCAGGAAGGACCAGAGAGATGGAATTTTCTGGCTGTGTAAACTCCACAGACAGTCCCCATCCCCAGCAGAGAGCGGGAACCCTGCATACAGCCTCTCAGAGCAGGAGAAGCCCCAGATGAGAGCCAAGGTTGTCACAGCTGTCAGAAGCCCAGGGGAGGCTGGAGTCCCCACCTCTCAGTCTGCAGATGGGATCTGTCGGAGCTATTCCTCAGCCACAGGTGGCCTGCTTAAACTCCTCTGAAACATCAGTCACCCTCTGGCCCAGAGAGGTGGTGTCATTTGACAAGGTCACACAGGAAATGGGCAAGGAAAGACAAAGCCATTTTCCTCACTGCAAGGACAAGGTCAGCCAGAATATCCAGGAAGGTGGAAAAGGAAAGAGAGTCAGAAATCAATAAAGGATTAAATAACCTTTCATGGGGGGGGGGGGGGCGGACGACATGCTAACAACCCCCCAAAGATCTTTTTTTTTTTTTTTTACAGGAAGAAGTCAGCTCAGAAACAGCTCAAAGTGCTAGGGGCACCGGGTGACTCAGTCAGTTAAGCGTCTGACTCTCGGCTTCGGCTCAGGTCACGATCTCGCAGTTTGTGGGTCTGAGCCTCGTGTCGGGCTCTGTACTGAAAGTGCAGAGCCTGCTTGGGATTTTCTCTCCCTCTCTCTCTCTGCCCCCCGCCCCCCCGCTCATGCTCTCTCTCTCAAAATAAATAAATTTTTTAAAAAAAAAAAAAAGCTCAAAGTGAGAGGAGCAGAGATTTTGAACTTGGTCTGCTCCTCCCATGAAAATATAATTCAGCTTGCCGCCTCAGGGAAAAGAGGTGCCCTGAGCAAAACCCCACCCGAGTCACGTTTTCCAGTTGTATCCCAGGCTGTGTCTCAGCTATTTGTCTGCCTTGAAGTCTCCATTAGAGGTGGGCTGACTCCTGAAGGGACCCCTACGCACCATCACTCTCCCCAACAAAGCTGCGGAACTTCAGGCACAGAATGCCCAGGGATTCGATCAGCACAGGCACTGAGGGTTTGCCCATGGAAGCTCCTGGCTACCAGTCTAGGCTCTCCCGTTTGCTGAGCTAGGAGCACAGCCTGATGGGAAAGTGAGCCCGGGAGTGCTGGCATCTTGTGCCCCGTCTATGCCAGAGCTGCTCATGTGACCTGAGAGCCTGAGCAACGAATGAAAAGGGGAGTGAGTTGATTTGGGGCTACCCCAACTCTCTGGCGCCATTTTCCGCCCCGGGTGTAGGAACCAGAATTCAGTCCGTTGAGTCTACCAACCACATCACTTTGTCTTCATGACAATGGGGTATTCCCATCTCCCACTGAAGGATAAGAAACTGAGGCTGGGGGAGTTGAATGACTTGTCCAAGGTCACGCAACTAGAGAGAGGTACAGCTCGCACTTGAAGTGGGGTGGCTTGACATCAGTGCTGGCTCCCCCAACCACCATGCTAGGGTGTCCTCGCCCTCCATAACCAACTCTTCACTTGACAAAGGGGGATGCTGAGGACCAGAGAGGCCAAGAAAGTTCCCCAAGGTCACATGGTCGATTGGTTGTAGAGCAAGATGGGTACAGAAAAGAACGGCTTCTTGCTTCATGCTTGGGAGAAGCTTACAGGGATCGAGTGTGAGGGGTGGGGAGGAAAATGGGGACAGAATGAGAGGCGAGGGGTTCCACCTTGTGGATGAGGAACCCCAACAGCAGTGAGGGGGCCAAGGAGGAGAACCTTGAGTCCCCAGGAGACCCCCGGCACCGAAGCAGCCCACCCTGGAGCCCAGGGATGCTGTTAAACGCAACTCACTTCTTCTGCTTCTTCTCGAGCTCGTGGTTTCGGCTCTGCTGGCTCTCCAGCTGGACGTGGGTGTCCTCCAGGTCACAGGTCAGATGGTGGCACTTCCTCTTTAGCTGGTGAGCCATTTTCTTGGCCCCCTCATAGGCGCTCTGCAGCTCCCCGAGCTGTGGGAGTGAGTCACAGAATGAATTACCCCTCTCCACTCGCACTGGACAGGCTTCCTACTTATTTCAAGCAGCTGCCATTTCTGAGGTGAGCAGAGTGGGAAAGAGACCAGGTATTGGGGCCGGAGAGACCCCGTCGTGACCACTTTCTGCCTGTTTCATGGTGAGGAAGCTACTTCTCTGAGCTTGTCTGCTCAAGAGGTGAGATGGGGTGGTGATTCCCTCCGTCCCTTAGGGTTGTTTTTAATTTTCCTCCATAATCTTCCTGCCAAGGTTCCCCACAGATTCTTTACAAGCCCTGCCTCCACAAGAAGGCTGAGGACTGTATAATTAATATCCCCAATCGGTCGGCACCATCCCAGAGCCCATGTGAGGATTAGCCACGGAACAGCCAAATTGGCGCACGTAGAAGATCCGGCCAGGAAACCCGAGGGACGGGCTCGGAAGGTTAGAGCAGTGAACGGCCCTTTCAACGGGCTGAATTACATGGGGAAGCACATAACCGTAAACAAACAGAAAAGCAAAGCCTCTTGCATCTTCCTCGAGGAAAAACCCTCCCAAATGTCCTCGTTTAAATCTGGGAGAGAGGACAACTCAGCGCACTCTGAAGAAATGGCCTCATTAAAGAATTTCTTTAAATAAGCAAAACTCTGAGTTAATGAAGCCTGTAATTCTAAATTCAGTATTTGACGGCAAATGGGATGTTTTCTTATATTCTGCGGCTCAGGAAAGGTTGCCGCTTTATTACTTTTTAATGCAGCATGAATAGCACATCCCCCCCCCCCCCCCATTCCTTGGGGAAACTGACCCGCCTTTATAATTTGTTATGAAAGCACTGTGCTATTTCCCTGCAGTTGGGTTTAGCCACAGCCCAAGATGCTCTTGAAGAGTACGACACCTGCCTGTCTGGGAAGTGACTACTAAAACTATCATCACCATGGAGGATCCTCCATTATTTATAAAATCCCACGTGATCTCACCCTGGCCCACCTCTGCAAGGGGATTTCATGATGCTTTTCTCTCGCAATGAGGATATATATATCTATCGGCAAGACAGGCAAATATGGCCTCCATTTTCAAGGTGCTTACCCCTAAAGGCAGGGAGGGACCAAGAAGTAAGCAGATAATTACAATATGCCATAATGAGGTTTATACTTGGGGACACAATTCAGGGGCACCCAAACAGTCCATATCAGAGGAGACTTTCTGGAAAGAAGGACATGGAAGCTCAGATCTTAAAGATAGTTGGAAGTATCCAGGTAGGGGAGAAAGAGTATTCTAGGAAAAGGAAACAGCATGTGCAAAGGCCCAGAGGTGAGGAAGAATAAGGCAGTGCAAAGGAATAGGACAGAGAGCCCAGAAATAAACTCATAGATATAAAGACAATCGATCTTTCAAAAAGGGGCAAAGCTAGGGTACCTGGGTAGCTCAGTCGGTTAAGCGTCTGACTTCGGCTCAGGTCATGATCTCACGATTTGTGGGTTCGAGCCCCACGTTGGGCTCTATGCTGACAGCTAGCTCAGAGCCTGAAGCCCATCTTCAGATTTTGTGTCTACCTCTCTCTCCTCTCTCTGACCCTCCCCTGCTCACACTGTCTCTCTCTCTCTCTCTCAGAAATAAATTTTTAAAAAACGTTAAAAAATTAAAAAAAAAAAAAAAAGGGAGCAAAGAGCCAAATAGTCTTTTCAACAAATGATACTGGGATGACTGGTCATCTACATGCAAAAAAAAAAAAAGAGAGAGAGAATCTTAACACAGATCTTACATTCTTCACAAAAATTAACTCAAAATGGATCACAGACCTAAAGATAAAATGCAAACCCATGAAACTCCCAGAAGATAACATAGAAGAAAACTTATATGACCTTAGGTTTGTCAATGACTTAAAAAACTTTTTTTAATGTTTATTCTTGAGTGACAGAGAGAGAGAGAGAGAGAGAGAGAGAGCATGAGCAAGGGAAGGGGAGAGAGAAAGGGAGACACAGAATCTGAAGCAGGTTCCAGGCTCCGAGCTGTCAGCACAGAGCCTGACATGGGGCTGGAATTCACCGACCTCGAGATCATGACCTGAGCTGAAGTTGGAGGCTTAACTGACTGAGCCACCGAGACGCCCTTGACAATGACTTTTTAGAAATGCACAAATGCCATGACCCATGAAAGAAAGTTTATAAGCTGGACTTGATCAGAATTTAAAAAATTCTACGCTACAAAAGACACAATCAAGAAAATGAAAAGACAAACCACAGACTGGGAGAAAATATTTGCACAAAAGCCTATCGGATAGAAGACTGTTATCCAAATTATACAAAGAACACTTAAAACCTAACAAGAAAAGAACTCAATTAAAAAATGGGTCAAACCTTAAAAGAGAGTTCACTGAAGAAGAAAGACTGCAAATGAGCATATGAAAAGATCCTCTACCATCCTATGTCATCAGGGAAATGCAGATTAAATTAACTAGACACTGGGACGCCCGGGTGGCTTAGCCGGTTAAGCATCTGACTTCAGCTTAGGTCATAATGTTACAGTCCGTGAGTTCGAGCCCCGCATCGGGCTCTGTGCTGACGGCTCAGAGCCTGGAGTCTGCTTCGGATTCAGTGTCTCCCTCTCTCTCTGCCGCTCTCCTGCTTACACTCTCTTGCACTTTCTCTCTCTCTCTCAAAAATAAACATTAAAAATTTAAAAACAACAACAAGACACCACCACCCACCTATGAGAATGGCTAAAATCTGGAACGCCAACAAAACTAAATGCTCACGAGGATGTGAAGCCGCAGACGCTGTCACTTGCTGCTGGTGCGACATGGGACGGCCACTCTGGGAGACAGGTTGGCAGTTTCTTACAACACTGAACACTCTTAGCACACAGTCCCACAACTGTTGTCCGTGGGGTTGACCCAAAGGAGTCTAAAGCTGACGTCCACATAAAAACCTGCACATGCATCTTCATTTCAGCTTTCCTCACAATTGCCAAAACATGGAAACATCCAAGATGCCCTTCAGTAAGGGAATGGATAAATAGACTGTGGTCCATCCAGACAATGGAATATGATTCAGCAGTAAAAAGATATGAGCTATCGGGGTGCCTGGGTGGCTCCATTGGTTGAACGTACAACTCAATTTAGGCTCAGCTCATGATCTCGTGGTCACGGGATCAAGCCCTGCATGGGGCTCTGCACTGAGCACGGAGCCTGCTTTGGATTCTCTCTCTGCCCCTCTCTTCTGTTTGCACTCTCTCTCTCTCTCTCAAAAAAAAAAATGTTTTTAAATGAGCTATCAAGCCATGGAAAGACGTGGAGGCAACTTACATGCATATCACTAAGTGAAAGAAGTCAATCTAAAAAGGCTACACGCTGTAGGATTGCAACTAACGGGCATTCTGGAAAAAGGCAAAAGTATAGAAGGATGAATTGGTGGAAGGGTGTTCTGATGAAGCAGAGAGGATTTTTAGGGTAGTGGAACTACTCTATAAAACTACGATGGTGGATACATGTCATTACATATGTGTCTAAACCCATAGAATGTACAACGGCAAGAGTGAACCCAATAAAAACTATGCGCTTTGGGTGATGATGATGCATGAATGCAGGTTCATTCATTGTACGGAGTGCCAGTCTGGTGGGGGGTGTTGACCATGCAGGAGGCTATATAAAGGAACGATAGGAAGGTGCCTTCTGCTCTTTTTTGCTATGAGCTTTAAACATGTAAGTGAGGCTGGATCCGGGGTGCTGGGGCTGGTAAACCTCATAGGAGAGCGGATTCTCTTCCTGGTTCCACACCCAGTGATATCACAATGGTAGGTGGAAACTGGCCCCTGTGGGAATATTTAGGCCGTGGAAACTGGCAATTGGCAAATACACATCGGGGTGTTTATTTTCAGAGGGCCAGTTACCAGCACACCACGAGTTGAAGGATAGACTGGTCGGAATGTACAAATATGGGTGGTTGGAGACGATGCAAAACAGGCAACGGGGTCAAACTATATCTACGTTCATCTAGAAAACACTAGGTGTGCATACATTATATTCGTAACGTCCAGCTACACGTTGAAGACAGAGAGGAAAATTTGGGGATATGGGAAAATTTGGGAAATGCAAAGGACACAAGACAAGAGCAATAATGGCTGATGCCGACACTCTGGCAGCCGGGGTGGAGGAGAAGATGAGCAGCAGAAAGACCCAGAAATAACACTAAGGATAATGGCTGTGGTCGAATGGCTGAACAGGGACAAGAGGCAACCTCAGGAGCATAGAAGATGGGAAGTTGGAATAGAGACCCCTGCATTAAGTCAGGAATCTTCGAAGAGTTGGATGTCGGGGTGAGGGGACAGGAAATGATCCACCCCCCAGCCTGGAAGGAGGTCAGAAAGCCTGGTGCACTCTGGCCCTGGGTGGGGGAGAAAGTCGTCTGATAAGAAATCAAAACCCCAGGTCTGTGCCTCAGGTGGGCTTAGAGCTCTGAGTGGCACTTTGCGCATGTTGCACAAGTCTGAAATGGAGAGAATGTCACGCAGTCTCAAGGGCTGCTGTAGAAGACAAGGCAAAAGCATTCTTTCTAGAGAAACACACCCACAACCCTGTAAACATAGAACTGCTATGAAAATCAGTCAAGTAAAAAAAAATTTCAAGGAAGATCAACTGACAATACAAAATAACTAAACACACACACACACACACACACACACACACACACACACACACTTCACCGTAAGAGTGGAAGGAAAAGGAACCTTCCACCATGCGGGCCACCTGGGTTCCCATGGCGGGAGTAGAGGGGCAGGCTGAAGATGGGCTCACACTCAAAATTTACAAAACACTCAAGAAAACGAGCCACCCTGAGAGTCAGCATACTTTGGAATAACAGAATGATCCAAAGGAGACTCTGAAAAACCCCTCGGCTGCAGTGTGGCAGGTGGTTGGGGGAAGAGGCTGGAGGCAAGGAGACCAAGCAGGAGGCTGTGCTCTGGTCTAGATGAGAGATGGAGGTGGCACATTAGAGGCAAAGGGAACAGATAGGATGTGATGATTCTAAGGGCGTATTACCATGATTTTATAGAGGAGAAAGATCTGTGGCCCGGGATCTGAGGTTCTTTATTCCAGAGTATTCTTTCCCTGTGCAGAACACGCACATGGAGACAAAATACTTCCCACCTCCCACAGGGACTCGCATTTGTAACGGTGGTGGAGGTGCAAAACCATGAAACGGGGGTGCCTTCTTTCTCCCTCCCCAGGTTCGGCCAATACCTTGAAGAGTGGAGGTAGGAACTTGCCCAGTCTGACATTCTCGGGACCCAGACCAGCTGCTCCCTCTTACCTTCTGCTCCAGCTCTTTCCTGGATGTCAGCTCCGAGTCCAGCCTCTCCTCAAATTGCTGCAGACGCTTCCGCAGGAACTCGTTCTCCATCTGAGCACAGTCGAAGCGCATTTGCCACTCATCCGCTATTTGACATAGTCAGGGAGGCCAGGATGGGAGGCAAGGTGAGTGAGGGCGGTTCTCTCACACTCTCTTAGCTCTTTGAGTGTAATTTCACAGTATAGACTTCCTGAGGCTTGATCTTAGACTTTAGGTTAAGAAAGTCTGCTTCACGTTTATGTGTTTAAAAAAAAATACTTCTTCCAGGCAGCCTGTCCTGACCACCTCTAGTTGTCTAAAGCCATTGGCTGTTCATTATTCTAAGCTTGGTTTCTTTATACCATTCAATTCCTCTGCAAGCATACATATACTTTCCTTTTTCTAAGGAAATCCCATGACCTTGGAGGTCAGGAGAGTGGTTTCAGTCCTTTATGGATCCTCAGTACCCTCTAGGAGTGTCTCCTACACACACAGAAGATTCCCTCATATGTGTTGATACAAGTTCACCAACTGGAAGCACCTTACTGGCCAACCACCTTAGGTGGGAGAGTACATAAGCAGTGACTATTGGTTAAATTAATTAACAAAGAAATCATTGAATAATAATTAAAGAATCTACTGAATAATAGCAACAAAGACATTCAAGTTGTCTCTATGAGATAATAGAACAATCCTCTGATTTGGTAAAAAATAAATTACAAAAAAATCACTCGCTGATGTGACAAAAACTGTTTGGCTGAATAGAATGGGCTAGACCAGGTTAGGATGTCTTTGGATTATCTGAGTAATAGAGTAATGTCCCTTAAGGTAATGGAGCTGTGGGAGACATTCCACATATGGACAGCTGAAGATAGAGACTTTATTCATCTCTCCATCTATCCATTCATCTCTTCATCCATCCATCCATCCATCCATCCATCCATCCATCCATCCCTTCATCCAACCATCCATTCATCCAATCATCCATACCTTCATCCATCCATCCATCCATCCATCCATCCATCCATCCATCCATCCATCTATCCATCATACACAGTTCAATTTACCATGCACTAAAATACTCACAGAGCAGCATTACTCTATACCAGGCACAAGGGATAACAAAACAAACAAGAAACCACTCTATCTTCCAGCAGAATCCAGTGGGGGAAACAACATACAAAAAGACAGCTGCAATCTAGCATGATCAGAGCTCTCACAAGGCAAGCTTATGGAAATCCAGAAGAGAATTCAAACTCATAAAAGCAGCAAATGTTTTTGTTCATAAATGTGTCCGCAGGACTTACTACAATGCCTAGCATATCATAAATGCTTCATAACTTTCACTAGACAGGTGATGGGTGTTAGGGTGGATGGAGAGGTGGAAACCTGGATGGATGGATGGAGGGAAGGAAGGAAGGATGGACGCTTGGATAGATGATAGGGCCTGGGTCTTAGAAGAGGTGGCCCCAACAGGGATTCCCACATAAGTAATCCAACCAGGATGATATAATTGTAAGGAGGTAGAGCCTGTTCAATTTCCACTAAGGTAAATCATATGGTGGAAGAAGAATCCTGTCTCGCCACCAGGAAAAAAAAAACCCTCAAATAGCAAATAGCTGCAAAAGGAGGAGAAAGCAGACAGCATTTCTGCCGCAGCACCTGTGCTCTGCGCTCAGGTGGGCTATAGACCAGGTGATATGAGCAGAAGAGGAAACTGTTCTCCATTCTCCAAGGCTGATTTCTACCAATGCCCCTCCATGGGGGTGCGGGGCATTCTTTTTCTTTTTAAATAATTTTTAAAACGTTTATTTACTTATTCTGAGAGCGAGAGAACACACGAGCAGGGAGGGGCAGAGAAAGAGGGAGAGAGAGAATCCCAAGCAGGCTCCAAGCTCAGTGTAGAGCCCGGTACCAGGCTTCGATCCCACAAACCATGAGATCGTGAAGAGTCAGAGGCTTAAATGACTGAGCCACCCAGGTGCCCCGGTGGGGGTCGTTCTTATCAGTACATATAATTCAGCCCTTCCGTATCATTCTTTCCTGGACTTATCTGACCTCCCCATTTCTATTGCAAATTTCTTGAGAGCAGAGCCCAACTAAAATTCTTCTGTAGTCCCCTGCCCCCAGCGGCCTGCCCAGTGCCGGCTACATACCCTAAAAGGGCCTCTTCAAACACCCCACCTGGCATGGTGGGAAAAACAGCTATGTTTTTCATAATTGATACTCCAGCTCGATCCATTGAAGAGGCTGTGGTGACACGGCTCTGGTGTGATTAAACTGTTTTATGGCTCCTTTCGACTTTCCTATATTTAAAAAATTTCCCGTAATGAGCATGTATTGCTTTCCTAATGACAAACAAAGTATTTGTGGCTTGGCTTCCTGGAACGAGCATCCAGGGCTGAGAGCCTGTATAACATCATGACGGATGTGCTCGTGAGCTAAGCACACATACTCCTCCTATTCAGTTCCCAGATCCTCCTGGAGAAGAACAAACTGGGGAGTGCCATGTGGACTTCATCAGTCCCGGCCGGGACGGAACTGGGGCCATGCTCTCCTGGGGGGAAACTGCCGTCCCACCTCCTGGCTCTGTAAAAAGCCATTTCCTCTCTCTCTCTCTCTCTCTCTCTCTGTCTCTCTGCTTGTAGGAGAGTCCTGTGTCAAAGGCTCCCAAACCGCACTATAAATGCATGTCCTGGGGGTGGGGGTGGGGACGGAGAGCCAGGCAGAGAGGAAGCAAGAGCAGAGAAGCAAACTCACTTTGCCTCTTCACCGCCTCCTGACCTCTGTCCCTCTGAGCGTCCCTGACGTTTCTAGGCCATAAATCCTCCAGGGGCATCGAAGAGGGGATGTCAATGCTTTATAAAAGCTGACAGACACACCGGGCGTCCGTGTCACCTGACTCATTTAGGCTGGGGAGAGGAGTTGACAGAGATGTCACCATGCCCGTTGAACCGTGAGATGGGAGTCTCCAGGCAACTCTGTAAGCCGAGCGCCACCAGAAACCCCAGCTCCGCTGAGCACACCTACCGCTGGGCAATTCAGGGGCCCAGCCTGAGGATGGTACGGGACATGTGGGTGGCTCTGTCTTGATTTCCACTCAGGTCATGATCTCACAGTTCGTGAGTTCGAGCCCTGCATCAGGCTCTGCACTAACAGTGAGGAGGCTGCTTGAGATCCTCTCTTTTTCTCTCTCTGCTCCTCCCCTGCCCTGTTCTCTCTCTGTCTCAAAAGTAAATAAACATTTTTTTAAATGGGGATGGTGGTAGTTTCTGCTCCACAGCTTACAAACACAGATGATGACCCCACTATTTCATTAGTAGTAACAATAAAGTTGCCGTGCATGCGGCTAGCCACGTTCTATCAATCACGTAGGACTCCACCCATTTGAAAGGCGAGCGAGTCGAAGCTCACATTTCTTTGCCCAAAACCACCACCCCATAAGAGATGAAGTCTAGATTCCAATCCAGAAATGGCATGTCATAGGTTCTGCTTTTAACCACTGAAATGCCTTGCCTAAAATCCACATCGTCTATATCAAAAGTATTCATATAATTATACAGGGGCTTTGCTGTAGAGCCATGGTTGTTTTGATCATTCTTGGCGTTATCACTGAGCTGGACATGTCACATTGATAACGGACCATCAGGGATATTGTTGGGTCTCCGTTTAATGTCAGCACTAGACCGGACATTCCAGGAGGGCAGGGTTCTGCCAAAACGTCAGCCCCTCATGCAGCGTCTGGAGCACGTAAGTGCTTGGAGCCAACCAACGAATGAATGGAACAGAGAGACAGCATCTTCCCACCCCTGTCTAACCCCCAGGGTCGCGGGTTGCTTACCTCCTCCCGTGTGGCTCCTTTCCAACTCACTCATCTGAATTTTCTGCTGGGCTTCCTCCAACTGCTTCTGCACTTCTCCCAAATTCTTCTGGACTTGCTCATACTTGCTCTGGAAGAAAGGTTGTGGGCTGTGAAACTGGAGCCCAAGACAGCCTGGGCCTGGCCACCTCCCCCACGGCGGCTGGGTAACCCAGGGCTGTCTACGCCCTACAAGGTTCTCATCTGGGGCACCTCCAAGGACAAGGCTTAGGAAGACATGAATGTCCTCCGGGACCTTGAACATGAGAGTCGGTAAGCCAGCGCGCCTTGCTTATAGGCTTACTGCTCCCCCATGTGAGCAGACAGGGAGGAGGGTGGACCCAATGGCTCCTGGCCGCCCTGCTCAGCCACACTTCGCCACCGCGTCTGGGCCACCCACCTTCAGCTCCTGGACCTCCCGGAAGGCGCGGAGCCGCTCTGCCCGCTCTGTCTCCAGCACCTGGCAGGCCACGTCCCCTTTGAAGTGCTCATCGGCGAGCTCTGTGGTCAGTTCGGCAATCTAGGAAGGGAGGGTTAAAACAGGGTCACTCGTGTGAGGGGGCACCAACGCTCCCCCCAGGCAGCCTCCGCAGGACCACCCCTGGACAAGTCACCGGCTCTCGTGGCAAAATGGCAGCTCCATGTAACGAGGTGGTTCAGACTGTGGTCATCAGAATTACTGGTCTTGACGTGTTAGAATTCTTGGCCCAATACTCACTGGCAGTATGACCCTGAACCATGCACGATGCCTACCGGATTCTTGGTTTCCTCAGCTTTAAGGAGTGGGGCATAACTTATAGAACTGTCTTGACCATTAAATGAGATCATCTACATAAAGTTAGCACCGTGGTGGCACATAGTAAATGCTCACTTAAAAAAAAGTTATCCTATGGGGCGCCTGGGTGGCTTAGTCGGTTAAGCGTCCGACTTTCGCTTAGGTCATGATCTCTCGGTTCGTGGGTTGGAGCCCCGCGTCGGGCTCTGTGCTGACTGCCAGCTCAGAGCCTGGAGCCTGTTTCAGTCTGTGACTCCCTCTCTCTCTGACCCTCCCCTGCTCACGCTGTCTCTCTCTCTCCTAGAAATAAAATAAAAAACATTAAAAAAAAAAAAAAAAAAAAAAAAAAAGTTATCCTAGGGGTGCCTGGGTGGCTCAGTTGGTTGAGCGTCCAACTCTTGATTTCAGTTCAGGTCATGATCCCAGGGAGGCAGGATTGAGCCCCACGTTGGACTCCACGCTGAGTGGGGAGCCTGCTTAATATTCTCTCTCTCCCTCTGTCCCTCCCCCTGCTCACTCTCTCTCTTAAAAAAAAAAGTTTATAAAAAGAAAAGTTGTTCTAGCAAGAACTCTCCTTACCCATCCTGCAGCGAGCCATCTTGCTGGACAGACCAATAGGCTCGCCTTGGTAAGGCACAAAGGTGTCCCCACATCGGACCGCCGTCAGCTAGGAAACCTCTCTGTGACTCCCTGTGGTCTATCTGCCTCCGTGAGGGGACAGCCATGCACCCCGGGACCAGTGTGCGTGTTCCCCACCCATTTATGCCTGTCACATTCCTGCTGTAATTTCTGATTCAATTATCTGTTACGTATACCTATAAACCACGGCCAGGCAAGGAGTTTCCATGAAAACTAAATGGAATGCTTTGGAAAAAATAATACAAGTGAGTTGCTTCTTAAAACTCTTAAAATTCACGGGGTGCCTGGGTGGCTCAGTCAGTTAGGCTTCCGACATCAGCTCAGCTCATGATCTCACAGTTCATGAGTTTAGGCCCCGCATCGGGATTTCTGCTATCAGCACAGAACTCACTTAGGATCCTGTCTCCCTTTCTCTCTGTTCTTCCTACTCTCTCTTTCTTTCTCTGTCTCAAAAACAAATAAACATTTTAAAAGACTCTTAAAATTTGTTTTCTTAATGTTTATTTATTTTTGAGAGAATGAGAGACAGAGTGCAAGAGGGAGAGGGGTAGAGAGAGAGGAAGAGAGAAAATCCCAAGTAGGCTCCATGCTCAGCCCGAACCCTAAAAGGGGACTGGATCGCACGACCATGAGATCACGACCTGAACAGATATCAAGAGTCAGACGCTCAACAAACATGAGCCATCCAGGTGCCCCCAAACTGTTAAAACTCTAATTAAAATACATCGGTTTTGTCAAATAGTTTCAGGTGCAAAACTTATTTTTAAAAAAAGAATTTAAAGATTAGGCTTCTGCATTCAAACTACTTTGCCATTTGCTCTGGCAAATGGAATCATGAAATCAAAACTGGAAACTGCACAGTCGTGTATTAGGGTCGTGGTTTAAGAAAGGAAGAGACGGGCCTTGGACCCAGTGCTCATACTCTGAAGGCTGTGGTCCTTCCTCAGAACTAGAGTGAGTTGTGGTCATGTTTAGAGGCAAAAATAAAAAATGTTTATATTTTAATGAATTCCCACTTGCACCAACTATTTTTTTCCCCATCAATGACCAAATGGGTCAAGGCTTATATGTTATTGCCCCAAAATGCAGCCTTCCAGGTTCAAGGCGAAGCCAAAGCAAGTGAGGCGAGAACCAGGTAAGCGGACTGTTTCTGACCTAGAGGTTTAGAAATGAGCTTACACAGAAGGGCTGCTCGGGACACGGAGGCTCCCTCCACGGGGACAGTGGTCAAAGTCAAGAAACGGGGAAGAAGGGGTGCCTGGGTGGCTCAGTTGGTTAAGCGTCTGACTTCGGCTCAGGTCATGATCTCACAGTTCATGGGTTCAAGCCCCGCGTCAGGCTCTGTACTGACAGCTAGCTCAGAGCCTGGAGCTTGTTTCAGATTCTGTGTCTCCCTCTCTCTCTGACCCTCCCCTGCTTGTGCTGTCTCTCTCTCTCTCTCAGAAATAAATATAATTTTTAAAAATATTTTTAAAAAAAGAGAGATGGGGAAGGAAAAGAAATCAATAGATGTAAGGCATGGGGTTCAAGTCCAGACACACTGCATGACCTTGGACAAATCCCTTCTTCTCTTGAGCTGTGAAATGCACCACATTAGGGAATGTCTATTGTCCTTCTGCATTCCCATCTGATGCCACAAATGTCATCACAGAAGATGTCTGCAGGCTTCACTGGGTGTGGCACCAAGGAGTGACTGTGGGGTGTGTCACAGACACTAAGTGGCTCTTCCAGCATGGAATCCAGCCCCCCCCCCCAGCGCTTTCCCATCAATACCATTAGACCATTAGCTCACAGGTGATCTCAAAAACCATGCCTCTGTCCCATGAAGAAGGAAGATGAAGATCTTTATGTTTTGACATGAACAAAACCCCAAGATATATTGCCAATGGTGGAGGAGAAAAGCAAAGGTGCAGAATAGGATGTTTGGCACGTTCTTGTTTTTGTTTTGTTTGTACTTGTACAGAAAAAGTGCTCCCAAACTGTTAATAGGGGTTGTTTCTTTTTTCCTAGAAGGGCATGGGCTCACAAGGGACACTGGTTTCTTTGAGGTGCATCTCCGTAATCAGAAGAGCTCAGAACAAAATAAATATCTTTAAAACAACAGTCCCCCAAAACGGAGCTGCAAAAAAACCAGTTGCTGCTCCGCACATTCTATGTCATCCACCTTTTACTACACCTGCCAGCCCATCAGCTTCCTGTCTTGAAGACCACACCAGCGAATGCTCAGACCTATCTGTGCCTTGCAATAGAAACAGGGGAATAAACAGGCGTAGGGGGGAGCATTTCGAAGCCACACAGCAAGTGAGCGGCGGAACTGGGACAGGAGCCCAGATCCCTCCAGTCCAAGTAACAGCCACCACCTAACAAGCCAGGGGCTGTCCAGGGGTGCACTGGGCTGTCTTGGCGGTGGAACTTCCTCTTCCTGTTCCTCACGCTGTCATCTGTAAAGTGTTCTGGGGAAACACTTGCACTGCAGCCCCCTGGGATGGTTGGTAAAATGCAAAGTCCAGTATTCCCAGAACGCCCACACCATAATCTCTGCGGCGGGATCCGGGGGTCTGAAGTTCAACACACTCCACGGTTGTTCTCAAGCATGACCGAGTTTAAGAATGATGGCCATAGGGCCACCTGGGTGGCCCAGTCAGTTAAGTGCCCAGCTCTTTCTTGTCTTCCGCTCAGGTCTTGATCTTGAGGTTCGTGGGTCCGAACCCTACGTTGGGTTCGGCGCTGACAGCGTGGAGCCTGCTTGATATTCTCTCTCCCTCTCTCTCTCTCTGCCCCTCCCCTGCTCGTGCTCTCTCTCTCTCACTCTCAAAAAAATTAATAAATAAATAAACTTTAAAAAAAAGAACTGCTGTTATAGAAATTGCCAGAATCTCCTCCTCATCTCGGCTTCACACCTGGCGTCAGACGGGTTAGGCTTCCTTGCGGGCACACACAGCACTGGCGCTGGGGAACGGGTCGGTCACAGTGGGCACTGGGCACAGGCTGGTAGAACCCAGGGACACTTCCGATCATGCCCCTGGTGCCCTGCCTTCCGTCCCTGCGACCAGCATCGATCCCGAACACTGGGATCGTGTTCCCTCCGCCTTAGACAATTAGTGTGAGAGTTAATTTGTGCTGATCAGCCTGAGCAAAGGGAGCACAAAATTAATTTAATGCATTAATTTTGAGTTCTACACAATCCAAGTCCAGAGCCCAAAGGACAATTAGTCCTTTCAGATTAGGGAAACGACGGACGCCTTTCACAGAGATGAGGAGCTCCCGATCTTCCCTGCTTCCCACAAATCCCTCTCCCTCCCCAGGTTTCGGGGCCCAAGGGCTTTATCCACCGAGGTGAGAGGTGGGCACCACGCCCAGAGTTATTAGGTGAATGCAAAATGAAAACCAATTTAACGAGGGGAGAGCCTGGTTTGCAAACCAAGAAGGGTCCTTGCAGATTACTCAAGGACCAATTAACTAGAAATTATTCTGAAAGCCTCCCTGGATTCACCACTTAAGCCAAATCATCAGAAACTCTCTCTCTACTTAGGGACAATACTCCAAAAGTCTGCCAGAGAGAAGGGGACAGACATGAATAAATTTGCAGTGCATGTTGCATCAAATCAAATAGAAATAATATGCATCCCGTGCCCTGGCTTCAACTGCAGCCTGAGGGAGACGGTAACAAAAATCTGACGGGCGTTAAATGCTGAGCACATACGTGACCCTTTGGGCTGTCACTGTCACGTGTAATTCAGTATGTGAGCACCGAATGTGTTCCAGAATCTTCCTGTCGAACTGGGGAGACAAGCCCACACGTGGAGCACTCCCGTGTCTGAGCCCAGCCCTGTGCTTGGCTCTTATATTCAAGAGTTCTTAAAACTCCCCAAATTATCTGGTCTATGGAGACCAGGCGGTGGCCTTTCACTGTGTTCCTGTACTTTTCAATGTAACGAAAAGAATTGGTTCATTAGAAGCCCTTGCAGGAGGGGCGCCTGGGTGGCTCAGTCAGCTAAGCGTCTGACTTTGGCTCAGGTCATGATCTCACAGTTTGTGAGTTCGAGCCCTTGTGTCGGGCTCTGTGCTAACGGCTCAGAGCCTGGAGCCTGCTTCACCTTTTATGT